ATAAATGAACACACACAGTCTAATGACGACCTCACTGCTGCTATTGCAAGACTGGCGCAGAGGATTGACACACTCAAAGTATCTCTCCGGCACAATAGTTCGACCAATCATGACAAGAAAACATTAAAAAAACGCAAATCAAGATCAGCACAAATCTACAAGCCATATCTGCTGGTATCATGTCAAATTTGGTGAGCACGCGTCAAAATGTGCTTCTCCTTGCTCTTACACGGAAACTCCAAGGACGGCCAGTAACAGCGGCAGCTGACTGTCATGCACCGCCAGAATTTTTTTCTTGGATCAAAAGTCCAAACAACGATTCTTGATCGACACCGGCTCTGACGTATATTATGTTATCCAAAGCGTCTTCTATGAGACCGTCGCACATCTACAGACTTTGAACTAAGTGCCGCCAACGGTTGTACTATCAAGACTTACGGAACCTGTTCTATGACATTGGACGTAGGCCTTCGCCGTAGTTTAGCATGGCAGTTCACAGTTGCAGATGTCAGTGTTCCAATCTTGGCTCGGACTTCTTCAGTTACTACCATTTGCTTCCTGACTGTTGTTTGTTGCAACTTCACGATGCCAAAACGCCCAAAACTGGAACTATTACAGGAGGACAACTTTCCGTTAAGACTCAAAGTAGCGCAAAATCCGTAGTCAGTACTTCTCCCCTCTCTAAAATCTTACATGAATTCCCTGAAATTACTCACCCTCCAGGATTGCCTTGAGAAGTGAAGCACCAGACAGTAAATCACATAATACACGACTCTTTGAGCTCTTTGAGCTCTTTGAAAAGCTCAGCATTGCAAAGAGGAATTTGAGGACATGGTAAAAAGTGGTAGAGCACGTCCATCAGACAGTCCCTGGGCTTCACCCCTGCATCTGGCACCAAAAGGAGAAAATATATGGATACCTTGTGGAGACTGCATTGAATGCACGCACCACTCCTGACATGTATCCTGTTCGACACATATCCATGATTTTTGAAATAACCTTTCAGGCTGTAACATATTTTCTGACATAGATCTAGCAAAAGCATACTAACAAATCCCTGTACACCCAGATGACATAAGTAATGCTGGCCAAACATTCCAGCTTTTCATAGATGAAGTGACCTGAAACTTAGATTTAACGTTCAGCTACATTGATGATATTCTAGTATTTTCCCGATCAGCTAAAGAAAATGAGCAACATCTTGGGACTTTTTTCAAACAACTCCATTCCTATGGCGTCATTGTAAACTCGTCCAAGTGTGTTTTTACAATGCCTGAAGTGACGTTTTTGGGTACAGTATGTGTGGTACAGAGTTTCAGCATCAGGTGTCTAGTCTACCCTTTACAAGACCGAATATCTGCTCTTCAGGAGTACCAACTACCTAAGACAATGCGTGGTCTTCGACGGTTCCTAGGTATGATCAATTTCTTTTGTAGATTCTTACCTAAATCCGCAGAACTCCAAAGCACCTTTACACTTTCTGCTTGGTGGTGCAAATAGCAAGGGATCACTTCCTGTGCCTTTGACTCCAGAGACTGAGGAAGCGTTTCAAGCTTGCAAGTCTAGCTTGTCCTCAGTAACACTCCTATATCATCCGAAACATGACGCTCCTCTTGGACTGTTTACAGACGCCTCTGACGTTGATGTAGGAGCTTGCCTTCAACAATTTGTTGGAAATTCCTGGCAGCCACTTGGATTCTTCTCTAAGAAACTTTCACCAAATCATAGCTCTTGGCCGGTGTACTACCGTGAACTTCTAGCTTTGTATGAAGCAGTACAGCATTTTCGTCATTTTTTGGAAACCACAGCATTTACCATTTTTACGGATTATAAGCCACTCTTCTTTGCTTTTCATCAAATGTTGTGAGAAACTGCCACCTGTTCAACTACGTCGGCTTTCATTCATATCCGAGTTTTCCACAGACATATAACACATCGACCGTTCAGAAAACATTGTTGCCGATGCTTTATCACGTGTAGAGGCTATTTCATGTTCATTGGATCCTGAGTCAATTGCCAAAGCACAAATCTCAGATGACGAACTCATCAACCTCATTAACAATAACAATTCATCCCTCAAAATACAGAAGATCCAAATACCTGGAACAACTTGTTACCTTTCTGGAATCAAACTCCCTTCTTCAGTGGCGTGAAGAAAATGACATAGTCTTGAACAATCAAAAAACCCAAATAGTCCAATTTTCCATTTCTAACCGGTCAAAACGGTCCCACTATGACTTGAACATTCTCCTCGATGATACCACTATCTCCCCTTCTTCAGAAGTAAAATTCCTCGGTCTTGTCCTTGATGAAAACCTCAAATTCTACAGCCACATCGAGCACGTCAGCAAGAAAGTATTGGTGGGTATATTTATGCTGAGAGTTCTCAGCCAATCAGCCACCAAGCCACCACTGATGTCCTATTATATCAGCCTATTATGGGCTTGTTTACCCTCATCTGACTTATGCGGTTCCTGTTTCCTGTTTGGGGGTGTGAAAGTGAGAGGACTAGGTTCTTGTTTAGGCTTCAGAGAAGGGCAATTCGAATTGTGTTTTCTATTTCCAAACAACAATATGCAGAGATTATTTCAGAGCATATACAATTTTAACTTTCCCATCTATTTACATCCTCGAAACTATCTTTCCATAGCAAAGATACTTCCTTTTTCTCATCTGCAACAAATTCCAGGTATCCATTGCGCAATACTTTAAATCTACCAATTCCCCGGCATTCCACTTCTTTCTTTCAAAGAAACTTTCATTACAATTCCGTAAAACTATTTAATAGTCTTCCACCTCAACTGAAGGCCGAACAAGATCTAAAAAAGTTTAGAACAGGACTAAAGTCCATGTTGTTAGACAGATCATTTTACAGCGTCCGTGAATACCTACTTTAGTGGTCATTCACAAAGTCAAGTGCGCATGTTTAGTTATTTAGTTATATAGTTTTCCAGTAAGGAATTTTGGTTATTAAGATGTACTAAATTTATTTTTTCTTGTATTGACTTGGCTAATGCAAGTATTGTCAGTTTGGCCCAATAAATGACTTATTGACTTATTATTGAAAAATTCGTTTATCTTTTGAGACACTTTAACAGGGACCAAAATACCTTATATTAAAGTTGAACTATGGAAAAGGGTACCTATTTAATTTGCTACATGACCTCAGCCAACCATCAGGCATTAAAGCTACTGCAAAACTTGTAGAAGATCGATTTGTCTGGCCAAGTATGCAAAAAGATTGTCGTAACTGGGCTCGTACTTGTGAGAGATGCCAACGTTGCAAGGTAACGTGACATGTTCATACTCCACTAGGAACATTTTCTTTGCCATCATCACGTGTTCAGCACATCCATGTTGACATAATTGGGCCTTTACCACCAGTAGGACCATACAAATACTGTCTTACAGTCATAGACCGTTACACTAGGTGGCCTGAGGTTTATTCTTTAAAGGGCATTACTGCAGAAGAAGTCGCCAAAGGTCTAGTCTCGTACTGGTTTTCTTGTTATAGCGCTCCTTCAAGAATAACTACTGATCAAGGCCACCAATTCGAATCATTCCTCTTCAAGTCCCTTGGAACAACTTTCGGCTTTGAAAGAATCAGGACTTGCAGTTACCATCCCAGTGCCAATGGATTGGAGGAGGTATTCCATCGTCATCTCAAAGCTCCAATGATGTGTCATCACGATTCATCCTGGCTGGAAGATCTTCTGATTGTCCTCCTAGATATAAGAAGTAAGTACCGCGAGGATCTTCAAGCATCAATGTCAGAAATTGTTTTTGGACAGCAGTTGAGACTTCCAGGAGAATTTTATGATCTCCCTGTTGACAAATCCAGGCATGATGATCCTACCGGGACCGATTATGCTGTATGACTCCGTCAACACATGTCTTCAATCAGACCTGTCCAAGCTGTGTATTGTGTTACCTGACAAATGTTATCAGCCAACAATCAAATACAAAGAGCCTCAAAATATACAACCTTCAAACACATCCCTAAAAACCTCCAAACCCGGCATCATTATTCAGAACCTATACAACTCGGTCTGGTCGAAATGTAAAGCTCAATCTTCCTGGACTTCCAGTCTCTGCGGGGGGCTGATGTGGCATCGACTTAGCCACAGCTGAGATGCCTTTGTTCTTAACTTTATTTTAATATTTATTATGTATCAGCTGTTGTTGGATTGTTAAAAATGTTTAGTTTTGACTATGTTATGATTTATATTTTTATTAGCACACTTTTTCATTCGTTTGTAGATCAAACATTATCAAAATATTCGTTCATATAGGGGTGCAATTATTTCACACAAATTAAACATCACGAAGGTCAACAGCCAAAGTGATGCGCTTGTTTCATTATGGGGATTGTTTGTTTGAAACTCATTGTTGGTGATGTTGGTTTTTGGTTTGTGTATTGTTAGTTGTAATGTGTTAGTTAAGTTTTTTCACCTGAGGACGGGATCAGATTCCAGATCCCTAAACGTTGTGTATTAATTGTTTTTTACCATCGTGATGGAAAATGTCTGCAATAAACCTTTGAACAACATTATGGGGATGCATGGGCGGTAGCAGATTCTGCCAATGAGGAGTGGGGGGAGCACTGGGCTGAGCGCCAAAGGGATCATCCCTTGATCCCAATCAATTTTCTGTCCAAGTAAATTTAATTTGGAGTAAATATAATTCCAAATGGTCAGAACTCCTAGAATAGAGTTCCACGATATTGACTAAAAATCCAAGTTCCAACATTTTCAAACTATTGAATAACCAACGAACATCATAATTCTGAGCGATCAGTAAATTGAACATAGTCCTCTTAGTACTGACTGTGTAACTTTGTTTCAGAATATTATACATTCTGAGCTATCAGAACTCCTGTTGTACCGTGATTTTAGAAAAAGTTATGTATAGCTATACTTGATTTCCATAATACATTTATTTTTTTAAATTAATAAATACATAATACAATATACAAGTATACAATATATATTACACTTTTAAATAATACTTTACGGCAGATTTCTAAGCTAGCTTGAGCAAATAGTATTTTCCTATTACTGTATGGATTAGATTCAGCAGTTCAAAATAAATGAACACTTTTTCTCCTACTTAAATACATTTTCTGTAACTTTTAGACATGTTTTTATCTAATGACTCAACGAATACAAATAAATCAGCAAATACAAAACAAGTTTCAAGTTTATAGAATCACCCAACAAAATACACTAATTTAACCTGTCTGAATTTGGTTTGTTAAGTTCATTACACTAGCCTTATCCTTTGGTTGATCAAATGGTGAATGTTTTATAAAACATTATATTGTCACGTTATCTAATTTGTGACGAATGATAAGAATAGTGATTGTTATGTTGTTGGCTGAGTGGGTTGTAGCCAGTATGAGATGACGCTACAGCTGCAGCTGCATTGTCGTGTCTAGGGGGTGGTGCGTAGTACGCGTAGTGGTTGCTGGAACCGGATGACCAAAGATCATCTGAGTCATGCGTCTGATGTGCATTGTTGTAGTGAACCTGAAACATAGCAATGCAGCATACATTGATAAACAAACCTTAAGTGAGACCTGCTAAGTTTATGTATTTCTTCGATGAGTGTCCACACTGAGATAAATACCGCACCACAAATGTATTGTAAACGATTTTCAACAATTAGTTTCAAAATCAATCTGTTTGGAGATGAGATCACTGAGATCACTATTCATACAAAGTACAACTCTGCCCCGAAAGCAAGACCAATTTTGCAGTATTCACTCTGTCTAGACAACAGTCATAAAACAAACATTAATTTCAGCTATATTTTGGCCACTCTTAGTACAGTACATCAAAGTTAAAATCTTTTACAACTGAAATCAATCCAGGTAACTAAGCCAGTATCACCTCCTCTAAAGCGCTTCCAAAACTATAGAGTGTCTGATTTATATTTACACTGGGGATGCTTATTTGAATGATTATCTCACTGCTCTTGGATTTCTCATGCCAATGATTTATGAAATGGCACCAAAATCAAATGCAGGGATGCCAACCAAACATGTTTCATGGACAAAAATTTCCTCGTAACATTAAATGAATTTTATAACAGCCTTACTAACTGCCCTAATATGGGGTGATGGGCAAACAAATGCGGAATATCTAATACAAGAATACATATCTTTTATGGTAGTAATACAGCTAAAGATAATAATAATAATAATAATAACAATAATACTCTAAAGATCAGTGATTATTATAATTACATAGTTTTTCATAATATACATCAAAACTTGGGTACCCAGTAGCTGTAAATCACAGAGATATTTTTTGAACCTAGGCTATATCCTTGTATACTGGAGTGAAATCGTGTGTGTCTTTTGCTAAACAGCTTGATCATTTTTCCTAGATAAATTTATATACAGCATATAGGTTTCTAAACGCTATGTTGTAACATAACCAAAAATTCCTGGTTTTTTCAAATTCACGCTTAAACTTATTACCTAATGTCTTATTTGACCAGAAAATATTTGCTACTTAAACATAACAAACCTTCAAGTGTGCTGTATGCATTTGCTTCATCTGATGGGTTGCTTGCAGCTGGACCAAAAATCTACCTATGTTGATCAATGTGTTGACAACTGACAGTCCAAATCCCTTGATCTGTATGATCGGTGATACAAACATGAGTGCGAAGGAAACCATGTTCTTGGCCAACATCATAGCTTGTATCATCTCCTGGATCATTTTTTCCTCTTTTCCCCCCCTTCCTTCATCTGAAAACAGAAGAAAATGTCCTGTGATCAGTGAATAAATATAATAACAGAGTTAATACTGTATGAGGACAAAATTAAATTTCTTTTACTGGGCTGTAAATTAGATGGGTCGCCGGATTTCTACCCCCGGATATTTACCCCCATGAAAAAACGCCTACGTCATTTTGACGTCATGAGGGGCGGGGCTTATACACGTTTGAGAAACAGCCCGCGACTGGAAATCTACCCCCGGCCATCTACCCCCAGACATCTACCCCCGGACATCTACCCCCGGAAATCTACCCCCGGAAATCTACCCCCCGTGGTCAGCTCTGCCGTGTATCGGCCAATATCCATTATGTTGTATAATTGATTTTATAAATTGCTTTACCTTCTTATATCCAGTAGTAAACATGCGATATGTCGATGTCTGTTTTAACATTATCCATATTTATAATTCAATAAGTTGTAACAGTCCTTTTTAACCCCCCATTGTTACTTTCACATACAGTAACAGCTAACGGCGCATGCTAAGCGCGGATCGAAAGTGTTTATCACAAAAGATTGACCAATACGATTTTAATACTATTTAAAGGTTCTTCAAAAAGAAGAGAAACCGGTTAATTATAACTCTTATGACGTACGGTATGGGAATTATTTTATTCATTGAATGATCAACCATATTTTGTAACTAACGCAATAGTCATTATTGCTTTTACACTTATTACTCATCAAAAAAGCTAAAGAGCTAAATGCTCAAAATTTGTATTACTTCAATCTATTTATCACAGTTATATGAATTATCATAAGCCTTGAAAGTAACCGTCAATATCGACGGGTTTCACCTAATTCTGTTCTGTATATTACATTAAATTCCTCATTTTAACATTTTACTGGCAGGAAACCTGCATATTCACTTCCTATATGGTATTCTTATGAATGAATCTTTTGAACACTGTTTTATGGAAATAAGTTGACAAGTTTTGTTTTAAGGCAGGATTTTCCAATAAGACTTTATAGATTCCCTGAATATACGAATGTGCTGCAATGGGGGTATTTAGGCGTATATATGTATTAAAAGATAAGATATAAAAGATTTATTAGGCTATGCTTAAAAAATTGAATGTGGCCATTATTTTGAATTTGAATAATTATCTTATTTCAGGTCTTTAAGAGAAAATACTTTAAAATCCTTTCTTAGTACACATCTAAAATCTTAGAAACTAAATTTTTTACTACTAGGTGATATGAAAAATTTGCCATTATACACCTAACTTTTATTGATGAAAAATTACAAATATAAAAAATATATTTATAATATAAAATATGATACAAAATATAATTATAATACAAAATAATACAAAATACAAAAATTAAATTTGAATATTTTTTTTATTTTAAGTCTTAAAGAGAAAATACTTTAAAATCCTTTCTTAGTACGCATCTAAAATCTTAGAAACTATTTTTTTTACTACTAAGTGATATGGAAAATTTGCCATTATACACCTGACTTTTATTGATGAAAACTTTTGATCCTCTTTCTCAATTAAACAGTTTACAAATGAGTTTTAGTTTACTAAACAATTATTACTACTAGGCCTACATTGAATAAACCGGAAGTTCACCACAGTTTATTCACTTTATCCTTTAAGAAATGTGTGTAAAAACAATGGTTCAGTACGATGTAACTTGACCATGTGAAAAGTGCGCAATATTATATTATTTTCATAGCTTTTTCATCTCCTGTTTACAGTTGCAGACGATCTATTCATGTTTTCACAACCTGACTTAAAAATTGATCTGATGAGTACTACTCACATTTCACTTTTAGACTGTTACTGTATAGTGTTTGTAAAAGTTGGTCAACCATTGGAAGCACCTTCTATAGTTCGGCCGCTTAGAAAACGACCTGCGCGCTAATGCTAAACCAATGCTGGAGGAGGTCGTTTTCTAAGCGGCCGACCTATAGGAATAAATCAAAGGCTTAGGGGTCAACCTTTTGAAGCCATAATCGAAATATCCTTTTAATTACCATTTTGTGCTGCGCTAGATCTTAAGCTTTTAAAAGACACCTCAATCGTAAAAATCTGTGAAGTAGGTCGGGTTGAAAAGTACTGTTACAACTTATTGAATTATAAATATGGATAATGTTAAAACAGACATCGACATATCGCATGTTTACTACTGGATATAAGAAGGTAAAGCAATTTATAAAATCAATTATACAACATAATGAATATTGGCCGATACACGGCAGAGCTGACCACGGGGGGTAGATTTCCGGGGGTAAATTTCCGGGGGTAGATGTCCGGGGGTAAATGTCCGGGGGTAGATGTCCGGGGGTAGATGTCTGGGGGTAGATGTCCGGGGGTAGATGTCTGGGGGTAGATGTCCGGGGGTAGATTTCCAGTCGTGGGCTGTTTCTCGAACGTGTATAAGCCCCACCCCTCGTGACGTCAAAATGACGTAGGCGTTTTTTCATGGGGGTAAATATCCGGGGGTAGAAATCCGCTACCCCAATTAGATATAGGAATATTTCCCAATCGAACTTTCCTAGAAGGCCTTTCATTATCTCACCAGTGTGAGGTCAGGGGTTGTCATGCAAAATCATGCCACCACAATGTTAGTTTTGAATGACCCTTCTTACTGATGAAACCATTAATCACCTACAGTATTCCTTATTTTATCACAATAATTGGTCCACACACTGAACAAAATTCCTTATTAATAGCTGCAGCCGAGTAGTTTTTTAGGGTTACCGGAATCGCAACCCCCTCAAATTGTATCCCTTGCCTAGCATCAACCTCACATGTAGAGGGGGTACAATTCCTGCCTGTAGCTTATAAGAGAATCTAATTTATTTAATGCAGACAAGATCCCAGTGAATTGGATGATTATTGGTTATGGTTATTTAAAAAAAAACCGGAGATGTACAACAAGGAATTGTACCCCATAGAATTGTACTCCCTATTAGAAAACTTATTTTTTTAAGTTTGTACTAAGTTTGAATTCAGCATTACAAGTATAGGTAATTGTACGGCAATTTCAGTGGATCACTAGAACTCTGAGTCAAAGGGGGGTAAATTCAACCCTGTTCAATAAACAAATAAGCGCTGGTTCCAAATGAAGGGGATAAGATTCAGGGGGGGGGGTACAATTTCAGCCAGTCCAGGGTCCAGTATTTTAGATGGTGATGGATTTAATCAAACCTCTCGACAATTAGGTTGAGAAAATGAGACATCATCATGATGTGACTACCCTAACCCATGGTAGAGTACAAAACAGGGGGGGAGGATTCAATTCCGCCACCCCTTTTTAAAAATTAGTATAGCTCGCTCTTCACACTTGGCAGGATTTTCTATTGTGTAACATATTTGAGACAATAAATGCTGTACAATCTTAGTAAGCGATAGCTGTACCTTCAATCTACTGAAACTAGATGCTGACAGTCTTGCTGCTGTGCTGCACTCGTCTGTCTGTACTATAATGTCTATGCTATCCTCAGTATTATAATCATAACTTGACATTGGGTATGTTGACTTACCAACAGAACTTGGTGACTGATCTAGAGTAATACCAGTACTTGCTGTAACTAGTGTCAGGATTGACGTTAGTAGAGCCAGCTTGACAAGAGTCTCTGGCCTCATTGCTGTAGGGACTGAAACAATCAAAAACTCAACTCAGTATACTTTAAAGTGAAAGTTCTAAAAAGGGAAAGTAAGAATGAAATGAAAACGGCGGGGTAAAAATATTTTACGTTGGTTTTATTTAAAACTATGAACAATGTAGAACTGATGTAGTACCTGTACGGCAGTATAACATGTACACTTTTTAATATGAATCACAATAAAAAGCAATGTATTTACTACTTTAAAATTAATGTAGTATTATTTAACCACACAGGGAGTGTAAAATAAGTTATAATTTCAAATTGGTCGTCTAAGAGTACAAATTGATGATCACATTGTACAAAGCAGACTCCACATCCATGAATCGTTTTCCTTCCAATATACAGAGTGAACAACTTAACCATTGGGGTCTTTGTGCACCATTGGTATCTTGGAAACTATTAAATATACAAGAAAAAAATTAAAGAGAACTTGCGTCAAAAAATATGAATTCCACTTTTTCAAAAATGGCCAAGTGGCTTGCTGTGTACATTCTGCATCCTGTAGCCCCCCAAACGAGTACGTTTTGAGAGGAAATGCTAAGAGTAAATAAGTCTTATAATTGCACCTACCTACATTCTAAAAATATCATAAATAGAATCAAATATTAAATTCACTTGTTCAAAAATGGTCACAAAATTGGCAGCTGTATTTAACATTTCTTAGAAAACATCTTGTATTATAAGATCTTGAAGTTTTCACCCTGTATATAGTATTTTCCTTCAAGCCGCCTTTAAAAATAAACTAAATAATAATTCCTCGTAGTTCGGTATTTCTAAGCAGTGCCTTCTACAATTGAAATGCAATCACGCTGTACATAACTATCAAGCGGGAAGTGTCACAGGAATTGCAGGCGTAGCTTACTTGCTGGTTTACCCAGAGGTAGGGCTGTGATGCATTCGTTTGCACGTACAGTAGACCTATGCCCTAGGTGGCGTCAGGTGGTTTTGGTATCAACCAATGCATTCACATTTTTTTTAAACTGTTTGATTTCACCCCACAGAAAAAGTACTTCGCAATAAGTAAATAATCAATCCGTCAAAAGAGTTGTGTGTTTTAAGCGAATTTCCTATAGGCTGTAAGGTTATCCCATAATTACCATAAGCCTCATGGTAAGACCTAGACCCGGGACCGATTTACTTTTTAGTTTTGATGTACCCGGAGGCCAACAACTCTACCCGTTCAAATTCATAAACAAAACAATTATATATGAGCAAACAAAATATGTCCGTTAGCACAATAATTCGAGAAAATTGATTTTAATAAAATTTTGTACAATAGTGTAAGCCTACATCTATTCGAACGAGTTTGCGAACCAGCATGATCGGACCATGGAAACGGGATTTTATTGGGTAAAAATGTGATTTCTAATTTTTTACCCTCAAAACATCAAATTTCTCAATTTATCGACATACCATTTTGTAGAGCTTTAAAAAATGAATAATTTATTTATTATCTTGAAGTGTGTTTGTACGGTTATTGGATACCAAGGAAATTCTAAAAAGATTTTGATTTAAAATGCTCATGTTATACGAATGGATAATAGGTCAACTGTTTCAGTTTGCTTGTTTAGAATATATTTTCCCTCATCAAACTTGGCAAATTTATTTCCTTTATACTATGCTATTAACACTGAACTTACAATTCCTTACAGCCTTACTGAGCTATTAACATTTTACTTATAACGCACTTTATTATCCTCCCTGTAGCAGCAAACCTAAGTATTCGTCAAGCCTTAATGTTATTTAAGTGGGCAATAATCTGACATGTTTATGGAAATACATGTAAATAACCTCATGGAAATACATGTATACCATAAAAATATTTTTCTTAATACATTGTCAGTAAGGTTGCGTCCTTTGTTTTGCACACATTGTTGAAGACTGAGATTAAACCAGCGATTAAACCCACCGGACTGTGCGAAATCGGAGTCCGAATTGTTTTTCACTACCACCGCGTTTATTTATCAATCTAGCTAGCAGTGGCTTCTTAGTTATTCAACCAGAGGGATAGCTTTCCTTGATGACATGGGAACCCGTGGCGGAAAACTGAACCACTAAACTCATGACGGAAAGCGCGCTGAGCTCAAACGACACTATCCGCGATTTTTTAATGTGCCTTTACAGCCTGGCGTTGTTTTCCAAGAATAATTATTTTGGAGGGAAAAATTAATTTCCCTTCATGTAAGATTTATGTTGAAACAGTTATAATTTTTCTAAATAATTTGTTTGTGATTTTATTTAAATCGTGTCGATTCACTGCCTCACCCTGTATAAAATATCCGTAACAATTCCTTAAATAACATAAACTCACCATCACAATGAGACCTTCAAACAAAGAATAAATTGTGTATGCATTTTATGCGGTAGGTAGACGACTTCTTTTCAATGTCTTTTCGATATATTGAAGACAATGTGTTAATCAATATGACAAATTATGCAGACAACTTTACAAGATTACAAGATAATGACATACTTATAACATACTTAGCAATTTAAATATTGTTGAATCATATATAATCACTTTTTAAAGATAAAAATAAGTCATACATTGTGATTCAGAATTATTTAGGCTTGTTGTACTTGAACAGTTTTACATGACATGGAATTACATGGCATTTGACTACTTTGTTTCTTTGCAGGATATTTATACGGTAAGCCTTAAGGCCTTGGCCCATTATACTGGATTCTTTAAGTTTGCCTAAAAAATATTGAATAAAAATATTATAGACACATATACGTATAAAATGAACTTGTCATCATCAGTGCATGATATCATTTTCAACTTACTGTAATTTAAATTACGCCACCAGCTGTTAGAAAGTGTGTTCGCATATCGGACTTCAAGACTGCGTTACCTACAAGCACGCCATGGTCGCCCGTGGTGCACATATGCCATTTTCATTGTTTTATTTGATTTTTTAAATCGCAGAGAAAATTGTTAATAATAAATTAGCTCATCACTGGATTTGGTTAGTGATTGTCTATATTCAATTATGTAGGTCACTCCGCGCTCCAGTTGTAAGTTAATTTCACGCAAGGAAGCTCACCACTCGGCACATAATGCACATAATGCACACACATTCTACATCATCATCACTGGCCATTTACTTCTATAACACTTACTAAGTATACAAAATAAACCACCCTCCTTTTTGGTATTTTCAAAATTATTTAGTACGTATACGCATGCAAATGAGGCCACTGCGCAGCAAGAGGAAAAAGTCACATCAAAGAAAATAGTTTTATTAACTCACAAACTTATTAATAGTCTAACAGGATATATTTAGTTTTCTTTTAAGTTTATAAAGACAAAAATAATAAGTATTAAATAAAAAGTAAGTTTTGAAAGTAAAACGAACACAACTGTTTTTACTATTTCTAATATAATACCATTAACAGCATTTTCTATTAGTCATCACCACGACGCAGTCCAAAACATAGGCTGCAATCACATGTTCAACGTCAATATGATGGATTAATTATACATCGATGGAATTATATCCCGACAAATAATTAGAAACAAACCACACACTTTTATCACAATTAGGAGTGGTTTTATGCTTGTATATGTGACACAAGGAGGGAAATTATTCATGATGGCAGCCATTATTCCAAGATGGCGGCATGTTGCCCAAGTGGGATTTTTTGGGAATTTTAGTATTATTTCCCCAGCTGTACGTACGACATTTCCATCAATTTTCAGCCCGATAAATTAAAATTCTGGAATCCGACACTATTTGTCTGCACTAAAAAGAAACCACCCTCCCTTTTAGTATAGTAGGTCGGGATAAACTTATTTGTGTATTTTAGATATTTTCATTTATTTTTATTTGTAATTAATTGAAGGAGTTTCGATATTCTGGAGGTAGATTATTCGTAAACATACTGCATAAAACATACACACATGACATTCGGTATTTACAACCTTAAATACATCCAACTGTTTCCGGTTTGATTTTTATAATTATTACAAATTTTAACCAGCGATCAGCTTTATTTACTCCTGTCTGTTGTATAATATGAAAATAAAATAACTATCGTACAGTTATAGTTTAATAATTCTGTGTAAAATTCTAACAATTATTTTTTACTTTAAACCAATTTTGTTTCTTATGCCTGTGGTGGAATTACAATCTGAAAATCAACAATTTGTTTAAACATCTTCCCTACTTTAAACATAACATATTTTCGTTTGATCCTCGGTCGAAGTATTCCTCATGTCGTACACATAATTAATAAATTCACACGCCATTGGTTCATAGTCCCAAGTCTTATACAAATAGACAACAAATATATATGAGGGAATTACTTCGTTAACACATTGAGTTTAAAGTGCAATGTACTTATACATTAACAAATAATTTACTGTAACACTAGTTTAATTAACTTAGACATTTATACTGAATCTCTTATCATAATGCAAGTAAATAATCGATTTTTTAGCTTTAACGAAGGTCTAACTCACCCAGAAATTTACGTTCTTGAGAATATTTTTGGTGTTTTACATTAAAATCTCCATTATCTGAAGTTTCAACAGGTAGGACCTGCAAGGTGCGAACCTCGTCCAGACCTACTATACTACCGAGCGATGAGGCTAGAATTCACAATTAGTCCAGTAGCACTCAACTTTCCTCGGATGGAAGCGTGGAACCCGTTTATGTGTTCGGTTTTCTACGGCCAAAGCACTCCTGTATATAACTGGTCCTTCTAAATGCGTGATTTTATTCTTCACGATCCTGTGTGGTTTTCACGGACCAGCAAGTATGTAAACTGGGCTATAAGTGTGTTAACTGTTAATTGAATTGATAGCCAAGTGGGTCATATTCTCCGTTCATGTACGGACTTTCCCTGCAAGGATGTTCTTTTCTTGAGGAGTATTGAAATTACCAAGTGTTACTTACTATTACTAAGTATAAAAAACACATCCACTTATAACAAAATATATTTTTTTTACTTTAGGAATCAGTGAGACCACATTATATTGCTGT